TCAGCAGCCTTTCCATCCTCTACCAGGCAAGTCGTTCATAAAAAATGATGTTGGTCTTTCACAGTAGTGGCTAGTTTACATTATTGCTGGGTTTTCACTTTTCTGATTTTTTTTTTCCTAACTTTGCAGAATGGTGGTGAAAATAACCTCTTCAAAAGCCACAGTCGTACTAACAGTGGCATTAGTACTGCAAGTGGAGGCAGTACGGAGCCTACAACCCCAGATAGTGAACGACCAGCACAAGCCCTTCTAAGGGATTATGGTAAGGACAGCTCTTTGGAAAAAATGTACTATTATATCCTAACTTGATTTTTTTTTTCCCCTTTTGTAGTTCTGGCTAATACATTAATGTGTGTGGGTGTTTTCAAGCCAAGATGGATATTCCCTTGCTGATTTGATCCCATATGCACCTATGTGCGGTGCTCACATGTGCTGGCTGGTTCTGTGTTGGTTGGTTTTTAGCCTGCTAAAGGACTCTCCCAATACCATTTTTAAAAAAGCTTGTGGAAGACTGTTTTACTTTATCATGTGTTTTCATGAACAGGAATGCGATAAATGTATACCAGGTGCAAATTAATGGCTTCATTCATTTTGGTAGCATTCCAAGTTTAGAAGTACCTTTTCTTAAGTGTTTTTAAAGACTATTTGGGGGACTCCTGTTTCTGCAAGATAAAGAGGCAGAACGCTTGCAACGTGTCATTTGTTATAACAAGATCTCTGCAATTAATATTGGTTTGTTTTGTCTTGTACTGTGCCCTTTTTGAATCTCTGTAGTAGAATCCATGTCCTATTTAGTCTGTGTGGTAAGCCAGCTGAATGTGGAGATTCTGGAATTTCATTTGTTCTTTCATGCTTTAGCAGTGCAATTGATGTTAACTGATGAAGTGAATGTGAGAACAGACCACCTTGTAGGCTAGGTGGGAAACTTCATTCTCACCAGATAAAAATGTTTCTTTCTCAATGTAGGAAGAGAGAGATTAGTGGGAAAGGTTTAGCATATTCACATATATATGTTATACAGATGCAGGGATTTGCTTAAATGTGTTAGTTATTTCTCTAAAGGATTTGTCTGAAATGATTTGAAGTGCTGGTTTTTACCACACCACCTTAATTATGTATATAATTCTTGTGTTTTCATTGGCAAGTTTTTGGCATCTTGCAATGTAAAATGTTCCTTTGTAAGGTTAAAAAAAACCCTCGTTTTAAGTCATGTTGTCATTAAGTCAAGCTGACTTTTCAAACCCTAAGTGTAAATTGAAAGATATTTTTTGTAATATTTGGCCCTGAACTTGTAGGCATTATTGATTCATTTTACTGGATTTAAGAAAAAAAAAATCTGTGCCCACAAGGTAAGGTTATAATACACTTACAAAAGGAATTTCAACATTCCTACTGAATGCTTGAAGGGAAAATTGGAAACAAGATGGTTTATTTTTACTAGTTAACTATAGCTGACATGTGAATCTGCTGCTAGACTGGCAGAGAACATTGGTGCTGAAATTAGTTTGCCTATTTCAGTTTTAACAAGTGTATATAATATTTGTGTTCCTAATATAATGAAGTTATGAGCAACTGCTCCTAAAAGCACCTCTTGTTTTTAATTTTAGCCAAAGGTTCAGGAAAATTAAGCATTTAGAATCAATTATATCTTTTCTTCCAGGTTGGTTTCTTTCATTATCTACATGTAAATACCTAATGCAGCTTCTGATAAATACTGTGCATAGAGAGGATAGGTAACTTCTTGTTTAGATATCTGAAGTTACACGTGCTCTGTTGGTTCATTATTATGACTCCATGTGAGTACTGATGTCTAACATATGTGACTAAATTCTTCTGAGTCTGCAAGACACTGCAGCAGTGTAAGTGCGGTAGCAAACAGCAGCACAACCCAGCACGAGCTGCTCTGCTGCTGAAATGCATCCGGGTGCTGTGGTTGTCCAAAATGTCTTTAGAAGAAACAAAACCAAATTGATACAAGGTGCTAATCTGAATCAATTTGTATTGTGTACTAGGGTTGCATACAGGAGAGTTAGCCTGTGCAAGAGAGACCAAATTTCCAAATTCTGGGTTGTGTATAATTTTATGTGCGTATCGTGGCTGCTTTGGCTTGTTCCTGTGCTTTGCTTATTGTTACTAATGCTTAGTTATTTTCCCTCCCTGTGGTATGTGTTACTGGGGTTATATCCTAGCTCTTAATACAGATACGGCTGCAGGACTTCTGATACGCAGCATTCACCTGGTAACCCAAAGGCTCAACTCACAGTGGAGGCAGGACATGAGCATCTCACTGGCTGCGTTGGAACTTCTCTCTGGATTGGCAAAGGTGAGAGACGAAATTTTGGTTACTCCAGCCTCTTCTCAAAGGGATGATTTCTGTTCTGTTCAGGTGAAAGCCATGCTACCAGGCAGACATCTGTCAGCAGACGTTCTATTTGGAGAAAGAGCACACAGTCCTCCTTCTGTGGGATTGCTCTGTCTTATCCTAATGTATGGACTCAGTGATTTAAGTCAAGTGAGTGCAGTGAATGCCTTTGGGCTGAAGGTGAAGCTCAGAGTGGGTGGTTCAGATACACGTAGCCCTACTGTGTGATTCTGGCTGATTTTAGCTGGAAGGCTTTTAATCGTTCTCATGGATTCACTTGTGTGTGGTTTTGCTTTGCTTTGTGTTTTGGTTCTGTTTGTTCTCACTGTTTTTTCACACTGCAGTGGATGAATCTGACATATTAGGTTGAACAGCTGAAAGAAAACCATACCACTAAGCTTCCAGTGGGCAGTGTGTGGGCTTCAGCCCATCGTTTTCAACTCCACTGTGAACCATTTCTCATAGGTTACTTGGTTAGATGTTTCTAAGGCTGGTTGCACAGTGGGTGGACAAACTGAACAAGAGTTTCTGTTGCTGCTGATCAGGGTTGGAAATAGACCAGGGCATTAAAAAATTTGATTACCCTTTTTGTAAGTGTTGTGCCAATTTTTTTCCTTTTGTGTCACGTGCAAAGTAATTTTTTGAGCTATGTGTAACACCTTTTTAATGTGAAGGTGTCACCTGCTTGGGAGCTTTGTCTACACACAGCTCTGTTCCTCAAACTCACTGTGCTGTTCCTCTTCACCACTTCCCAGCTGAATCACTCCTGTTTTATTTTTGCACCCTCAACTGTGGTCTATGCTCCTCAACTGTAAGGAGACACACCTGGCAAGTAGCTGAAATAATTAGCAAGTTAGTGAATAGTAAATAGCTAAAGCTACTGGGTTGGGGGCTCCTTTTTTGATGAAAAGTAAAATGTCCTTTTCTGCTTGAGGGCACTTCCTGTTCCCAGTCTGGATTTCGTGATGTTTGTTAAGCAATGCTTTGGTGTACTTACAGCAGCCAAAATGAACTGATGAAGCAGCTGAGTATTCCCTGATGTATTCCCTTTGAATATGTATGTCACAGGCTCTTTTGAAGCTTGGAGTCAGCACTGAGCCATGGTGGGCTGCATGCTGCTTTCATTTCTGCAGTAGCATGAGCTGAAGGACACGTTTGAAAGTATTCTGCAATGAGTTCAAACATGGTTTTGGAGTGTTCCAGAGCACAATACAGAAGCAGGGGTTCCTGATTCAGTTAGGATATTCTCCTGTCCCCTCTTTGTGCAATGAGATGAGAATTCCACGTAAAAACATGCTTTAAATATCTACCCAGTTTAATATTAAACACTGTAATCTTTGTATAATTCCTGAGCGACTGAAGTGATTCTTCTGGGCCATCCAGGGTAGTCCTCTTTCTCTTAGTGATGAATCAAGTGGAAAGAAATCTCCACATATCGCATAGCTGCAGAGTAGAGAACCCATTCTGCTTTCACCTTTGGAAATCACAATTCCCAAAGCCCTTTTCAGGTTAAGGGATGCCTTGTCCTGTATCTTTTCAGCTGCAGGTTATTACCGGGACTTGGTCCATTAGAAAAATCCTGTTTCCTGCAAGAGTGCAGGTTCCCCAGCCTGCTTGTCCTAAGCTGATCTTAAAGGGACTCTGCCATACTTCCAAAGGAAGTACTGTGTAGGGCTCCAAATAGTTGTACGTACCCTTGTTGAATGCAGCTGTCTGGCTCCCATGTTGTCACCTGCAAAACCATTCAGCAGGATGCTGGTGGTGCTCCTCCGATATCGAATAAGACTTTATATGGCACGGTCAAACTCTACAGAGTAGAAAAATCCAGGTTTGACTGAGTGCTCCTGTGTCAGTTCACAGGAAGAACAGAGAGATTTGGTGATTTGCTTAACTTCAAACTGCTGATCCTCGTCACTCAGGGTGCACAGCTCTTTGCTAGCCCTCACGGTCCAGAGCCTTGCTCCCTGAAGCCTATCTGGGCAGGAATAGGAGCTGAGGGGGTTTTCTGCAAATGATTTTTTTTTCTGGTTAATCTGCTTGTCTGAGCACGGTTGTTCGTCGGTGAGAAAGTGAAAGAAAATATCACTCTGCTGACAGAATTTGCCTAGAGGAAAAGGACAGGAGCAGAATGAAGCCCTCTGGATGGGATACTGGGCAGTGACTGGTTTCTTAGAGCGACCACGTGAACGTGAGTGGGGCTGCTGTAGCTGAAGGAGTGGTTTTTGCTGAAAATAAGTTTAAAATGCAAATTTACTTAGCTTGCAATTTGTTTCTTATCAAACCAGATTGGTATCATTCTTGCTCTTGGAAACAAAGCCCAGCAGTGTGGTGGCACCTTAATGCAGCATTTCTTTTAATTTCATATCCATCACTGTTTAACATTTTTACCAAGAAATAGCTCAACTGTTTATTCACATTTCTTAAAGCTGCATTTAGAAATGCTTTCAAAAGCTGTTTCTTCTCTGAAAGGTTTTGTGAAGGAATTCTCACCTGACAGTCCTCTTTTCCTTGCTTCATACAGGTGAAAGTGCTTGTTGATTCCTCTGATCAAAAGAGAGCAATTAGTTCTGTATGCAGCTACATAGTGTTCCAGTGCAGCCGGCCAGCCCCGCTCCACTCCCGTGACCTTCATTCTGTGATAGTTGCAGCTTTCCAGTGCCTCTGTGTCTGGCTCACCGAGCATCCTGACATGCTGGATGAGAAGGTAAGAATCTCTGATGTGTGTATTCTTAGCCCCCCAGACTGATTTGCTTTTTGTCCCCAGCTGTCAATGTTTCAGACTTTAAAACAACACGTCTTTGTAGTTTTCAAAAGCATAGCAGGAATTCCAAAACTAGTTTACTTGGAAGATAGCTTTCAGTTTTGATTTCTCCTTTTCATTCACTGAGAATATTTTTGGCTATGCAACCACCTTTCATGTTTATAAGAAAGTATTTTGATCTTTCTTCTTGCTTTGTGAACTGAAAATAAAAGAAGAAAAAATCTGAAATTGGAAAAGCAGAAAAATAATGGAGAAATATGAGAATTATTGGTGTGCAAATAGTGTAGTTACCTGCAGCAGATAAGCTTCTAAAAGCAATGTCTCTTCTCATTTCTCAGCTCTTACCTGTCTAAAGCATTTTCTAAATTTAACAGTGGAGTTTCTTTAATGCTAATATTTTGATGATCGTAAAATCGTAAGAATCATAGAATGGCTTGAGTTGAAAGCAACTTTAAAGATCACTGAGCTCCAACCCCCTTGCCATGGGCAGAGTTTCCAGTCATTAAATCAGGCATCAGATCGGGCTGCCCAGGGCTCCATGCAGCCTGGCCTTGAGCACCTTTGGGGATGGGACATCCCCAGCTTCTCAGGGCAGCAGCACCAGTGCCTCACTGCCCTCTGAGTACAGAATTTCCTCCAAATATCTAACCTGAATCTCCCCTATTTTAATTCAAAGCCATTCCCTCTCATCCTGTAACTATCAGATTGTGTAAAACGTCAGTCTCCCCTATTTATAAGCCCACTCCAAGTACCAGATAGCAGTGCTGTCTACCTGGTGTCTTCTCTTCTCCAGACAGAACAAGCCCAGCTACCTCAACCTTTCTTCACAGTAGAGGTGCTCCAGCCCTCTGATCATCTTCATGGCCTCTTCTGGACCCTCTCCAATTGCTCTGCATCCTTCCTGTGCTGGGGGCCCCAGGCCTGGACACAGTCCTCCTGTTGCAGTATCACAAGGGCAGAGCAGAGTGGAACAATCCCCTCCCTGCCCCACTGCCCCCTCTGTTGATGCAGCCCAGGATACTGTTGGCTTTCCAGGCTGCAGTTGCAGATTGCTGGCTCATGTCCAGCTTCTCATCCATCACAACCTTCCTTCTCCACAGGACTGCTCTGAAGGAATTCTTTTCCCAGTCTGTACACATATCTGGGATTGCCCCAGCCCCAGTGCAACTCTCTGCACTTGGCCTTGTTGAACCTCATTAGGTTGACATGGCCCTTCTGTGTCCCTTTGGGTGGCACCCCTTCTGTTCTATTGCCTGCATCACTCAGTGGTGTCAGGCTTGCTGAGGATGTACTCAATCCCATTGTCTGGTCACTGATAAAGACGTTGAACAGCACTGGTGCCAGAACTCACCCTTGGCATCTTCACCAAGAAGTTTTCTAGAAGCTGAGCAAGGCAAAGCTTGATCCAAGGTACAGCTTCCTGGGGGAGCTTGAAAAGAGCAGGAAGTGAAAGATGCGTGTTGCTGATCTGATCACCTCCTGTCATAGTCTCAAAAAAAATCTTTTTTTTTGTATGAGTGTCTGCTTTCATTGTAGGTCTGCTTACAGTGGCAGCTCAGTAATCTGCGAATTTATGTTAAAAAAAAAAAAAAAGAACAGGCAGGGTTTTCAATAAAGATGCTTTCTGCATGCACTTTGGGATTCTGGCTGCTGGTAGTAGGTGACCAGGAAAGGGATGATTTCCTAGGATATGGCACAGCACAGGTTGTAAAGTTACATTATACTTTGTTTTTCTTTCTTTTCTTATTTTTCTACATGAATTGTGAATTCAAGAAACAACACAGGCCAAAGTGCAGAACCCTGCCTGGTTTCTGGTGGTTAAAACCGATGATTTATTTGTGTATTTAGGGTTGATTGTAGATTGTAGACAGCTACTTGTTCTTGGGAAAGCTTTCCTCTTTATTTCCCTGTTTAGCCATCAGATCAGAACTTTTGTTGTAGCAATCCAGATATTTTCAGTAAATGATTTTACAGTGAGCAATACTGGTCAGTCATAGCTGTGATCCCACTGAGAGTGGGCCTCTTCTATCATATGTTTGTTGATGCCTTGCTGTGTACTTTTAGAACACTGTTATTGTTCTCTTGATGAATTAGATACTACATATATTATCCTTCCTTATGGATGCCGTTGGCAACTGAAAGATTTGGACAATTTCTTTTTGCAATTTTCCAGATGAGTTCATTCTTAATATCCTTAGAACTTAATTAAATTTTCTGCAGATAATTTCAGAAATGTGTTTATCTTTTAAAATATGTTTATATTTTTCAGTTGCATTCCTAGCCCTCTTGGCTGTTTTGTACATGTCTAATGGAATACATTGTGTATATATAAATTCAGAGCACTTTCTAGCATTAGATGTAGAGACTTACTAACACCATTAGACATCTATATACAGAGAAAATATAATTCCTCTAGCAAATGTGATCTTATTTCAACACTGTCGTTAAAATAATTTTCTGCCTTTATTTCTGAGCTCGTACCAGAAGCAGCACGCTGCTTAAATGAGTCATCTGTTGCTGTTTCTCTGAGGTCTCTGAGACGTCTGTTGGAGTGCTTCTGTTTTAAGGTAGTTCCTCATGTGTTTTAGGATTGTTTAAAAGAGGTACTGGAGATTGTGGAGCTGGGTATTTCAGGAAGTAAATCCAAGAGCAGTGAACAAGAGGTGAAGTACAAAGGAGATAAGGAGCCAAACCCTGCATCCATGAGAGTGAAGGATGCTGCTGAAGCTACGTTAACATGGTATGTAATTTCTCAGTGTGTTCATTGTTCAGCATTGCTTTGTCAGAGGATGCTTTAACGAGGAGTTTCCACCTGCTATGTAGTTGAGAGCATCTGAAAAGTCATCCAGAAGTTCCTTCTGGTTTGTCTTTTTTGCAGGGTTGTCTTCCCCCTCCCATTACAGACATCCAGCAAGAAAAAGATTCCTGTAGTTGCTGTCTTCTTTCTGCCCCTTCCTTTCTTTGGAGAGCAAAACCATCCTGCAGCCCCTGATGTTCTGCTCTTTGCCAGTGCAGAGAGCAGCTCCTTTTGTCTCCCACTTCCCCTTGTCACCTTGTCCTTCCATTCCCACAGTCTTCTCCTCGGCCTGACAAGTTATGCTTTCCCCTGTGCACTGATGAGGAAACTGGTAGCTGCTGTCCCCTGTGTAACACAGCAGGCAGTGACACACGCAGCAGGTGTAAGCTAAGGCAGGGTGGGACGTCATTCTGCCCACTGAACTGGGCTTGCTTAATAGATCTGGGAGACTCTGCTGGAAATGTGATTGCAGATGATGTGTGGGTGGGGAGAGGGAGCACAGAAGTAAATTGAGATTCACTCCAGAGAAGCTGAAAAGTGCTGTTTTACTGGATGAATAGCATGGTGGTGTAGACAGGACAAACTGAAGATGAGTAGGATAAACATGTGTTGCAAAAGGTGAGAGCTGCTTGCTTACTTTGTTTGTTGTACTTCACAATAAAATAATTATAAACTTTACTACTAGTGAGAACAACTGTGTAATTATGAAAGCAGCGTCTCATTGGAACCTGTGGACAAACCTTTCTTGTTGCCTGAAAGTGCCCTTTTTCTTTTGTTTAGAGGGATGCAAATATCTGTCTTCAAGGGAAAAGTGTGGCAGGAGGACTTCAGTAAATTTATTTTAGATCTGAGTGCAGCCTCATTCAAAACATACTAAATCCAGTCAGTTAACTCCATGACATTCCATGGAAACCTTTGCTCTTGCTGTTGGCTCCTATCATAGAGATTTTCTGTTGGGAAGATCCTGCACAATTTCAAATTATATAAGTATATATATTTTTAGGAGCCTTGTGTATGCCTTGCTCGTTGATATTGAACAGTGGGTTAAATTATGGAGGAGTATCTCAAATCATCCATAATATTCATATAAGAACAAACATAAAAAAACTGTAGAACTACAGATTATTTTTTGCTCTAAAATGTATCTTACTATTTTTATGACCTGGGTTATAGATGAACTTGTTCTATAGGCAGATTACTCTTCTTTGTAGGATTCATGTACATTTTTTCTGAAATTACTGGTTCTCTTTTAAGACAAGCTGATGGGATAGTGCAGTAATTGGTTTGTGCTAGCCATAAGGGTAACGGCTATGTCGAGATCCAAGCGAAGAATAAAGTGAAAGTCTGTGCTTGGGTGGGACAGTAGCTCTTAATCTGTCGTGACTTCTGTCTTTTTTCTCCATTTGCAGTATTATGCAGTTACTTGGAGCATTCCCTTCTCCCAGTGGCCCTGCTTCCCCTTGCAGCTTAGTGAATGAAACCACATTAATTAAATATTCTCGCCTACCCACCATAAACAAGCATAGTTTCCGTTACTTTGTTTTGGATAACAGTGTCATCCTGGCAATGTTGGAGCAGCCTCTAGGGAACGAACAAAGTAAGTCCAACAGTCGCTATTCCTTGTTCCCCTTGTTAAAACTCCCAGCACGCAGCTATAGGAAAAAAAAAAAAAGGTACTACGTCGTGTGGTTCTGTCATTTTTCAGGGCCCTACCTGATCTGTGGGCGTGCAGCTGAATAGAATGTTGCTCTGGAATGAAGTGGCAGGGCTAACTTCCATGTCATGTCAGTGATAGTCAGAAATATACAAGCCTCCTAAATAGTTTACACAGTTGCCTTTCATCCTTTGAGACCAGATGCGTGCAGCTGAGTGCCATCAGAATGGTAGCTGGTGGACAAAAGCAGTACCATTGCATTATGAAGACATCCATGCTTTGACCAAGGAGAGCATGTATTAAAAAAATCTATTATTTACACGATGCTTTGAACTGAATAACTGATCTCCTTAAATTCCCCCTTTGAATCCTCGTGTATCAAAGCATCGCCTAACAGAACCAGTGAAACTTCTCCTGCACTGGCTTCACCAGTGCTAAGAGGAAAGCTGTTTTTTTATGAGTTGTGTTGCAGAATGCTCCCATCCCATGGGGAATCGCTGTGCAGATCCTGCAGCCGTTGCCACACATCCACCCTCAGTCTGGGTTGGAGCCAACGTGTTCCTGACTGCAGAGGTGTGGAACGTGCCAGAACAGCTGAGCACTTCTCACCCTTGTTCTGCCTGTGCTAAATGAATTACTGAGGAATCCTGTAAAGCTATTATAATCTGAAATTAAATTAGCTTTACTTGCTGTGCAGAACTTGCTTACAAATCCCCTTTGAAATACAAGATTAATTGCAGTAATGCTTAAGTGTGTCAGCTCTGTTCTGAGGCAGACTGCTGTAGTGAATCATTGCGGGGCCTGGTGTGCTGCCCCTGAAATGCCAGCAGAGAAGTGCCTGTCTGGTAGTTACCCAGTGGTGTCAGTTTATGGTTTACGTGCATAAGATAAGACACAGATCTTTAAAAAGTGAAAAACTGTAGAGATGTGATTCCTCTTCTAAGGTGGCCTTTAAACCTTGAAGGGAGACTGGAATGCCTGCCATAGAACCCTGACTGTGCAAATGGAAAGGCACAGTGGGAGGACTGCAGTCTAAGCTGCTCTCTGAACAGAGTCAGGTTTGAACTCAGAGCAGGTTGCTCGTGGCTTTGTGCAGGTAGGACTTGGAAGCCTCAGGGGAGTTTCTCTGTCCCTATTCCAGTGCGTGGCTTCTTTTAGAAATGTTTTCACTGCGTAAAGTTAGAATCTTCCCCCATCTTAGTTTGATTGACTGATGCCTTTCCACCATTTCTCTTGCCATTATTTGTGTGGGACCTTTACAGAAACTCATGGGAGCGTCATGGAAACCACATGTTTCCATATGAACATTTCTTGTACCTAAACAGGCAGTAGCTGAATATTTTTTTTTAATTCATGGGAATAATTTGGAGAGAAAATGTTCATGAATTTGGACTAAGGTTACTTCTAATGATGAAATGGAGCTGATCTGGCTACTGCTGAGCAGAGTAGTTCTCTGCTGCAGAGAGGGGGATTACATTCAGTGTTTACTTCTCACCAGAATCTGTCCTTAGGGTAAGGGAGGGAGTTTTCCTTGAAAACAAAATCTCTGTAATATGTGTGCTTTTTTACGGTTTAATTACTGTTCAATGAAGTATTTGTGATTTCTGATGACGTATTCCTCTTTTCACCCACGTGCTTTGCAGATGACTCCTTCCCCTCTGTCACAGTTTTGATCCGTGGGACATCTGGAAGATTTGCATGGGCCCAGCAACTCTGTCTTTTACCAAGAGGAGCTAAAGCAAATCAAAAGGTCTCTATCAAAGCCCATAAAGAAATCTTTAACTTAGAGATGTTCAGCTGAAATTCCACTAATGTGAGACAGCCCCACAGATCTGGTGATTATACATTAAGGCTGAGCCACGGGGCCTTTAGCTGTAGGTAATGTGGCACATCTCCAGTGACTCTTTACAACTCGTGATCAATATTAAATATAGGCTGTAAAAGTACTGTTGCCTTCTGGGTTTGTGTAGGAGGGTGGGAGAACTCTCCTTATTCTCGTTTTTTTAAAAGCATCTTCTAAGCTGATGAGGCAATGGACCGAGTGCTCAGTGTGCAGGCACGGCTGGTGTGCTGATGTTAGGATGTCAGGCAGAGCTTTTGCAGCAGAAGGAACAAAGTCTGGAGATAAAGTGTGAGATGCTGCTGAGAGAGCAGCTGTTAAAACTGCAGAGCTCAGTGTTGCAAAGATGGCTGTAAAACAGCTGTGGAAAAGCCTATCTAGGTGGACTTTGGAATTCTTCTGGACAGTAATAGTGGAGAATAAATGGCCCAATAAATGGCGTTTTAAGTAGAATCTCTTACTGCAGTTGCCTGGTGGATTATATCCTTGCGTTACCGAAATTCCTTTGTTTGTAAACATCTCCCAAATGTTCAAACTGTTTGTGTAATGTAACTGAAATGTGGGCCTGTCAGTCTCAGCTGTCATGTTATCATGTAGATGTCTGTGATCTCTGCAATGCAGCCCTTGGGAGGACCCTTCACTGGATGCCTTTGGAGCTGTGCTGTCACTGTTGCTGAAGCATTTTGTGTCAGTCCAAGGGTGTTGCCTCCCACACCAAAGGAAAAGTCACACTTTGGTTGGGGACCTAACCAGTATTAAAGGAACCATTCCAACTTAAAAGCATTACATAACTTCAAGATCTGCCATTTTTAAGTGTACTTGGTAGTAAATACACTCATAAAGCAGTGTTCAAGGTGTAATTAAGGGTCTGTCTTGCTTGGAGGTTAAACACGTGCAAACCTGCAACCAGACCTTCTGTTGCTTTTATTAGTAACGTCAGTTTTTGAAGTGCACAGTATAGCACAATACAGTAGCATTAGCAGAACTGCATGAGGATAGGTAATGCAAGGCTGTTGCTACCCTGGTGGGACATCTTGCTGCTGGCCCACAGCGTTGATGCTGTTCACTTCAGGACTTCTCAGCTTCACTTGTTGAGCTCATCACAGTCAGTAAGGCATAGCTGTTAGCTTTCCTTAAACGTGGTTGAGATAGATTTTAACCTAAAAATAAGATGTCGCCACACGAGGTTGCTGTTTTTAACAGGATTTGCAACTGCTTAGACTTAGGTGGTAAGCAAGCGTAATAAGCATGATGATTACAACCACCAAAAGGGACAGAATGTTGTCTTTCTGTTTTATTTTTATTTTTTAATCTATTTGTTAGTACAAGTCCATTCAAGTTTGAGGTGTGTCTGAATGCTTTTTAATGATACCTCTCATGTAAGGATTAGTAAACCTGTGATGGGAGGGAATATTTCCCATCTACTATCAGCAGTTGTTTTCTACTGATGCAATGCCCTGAATGAAGCTATCTCCCTGCCCACCTTTTTTTCTTTTTGTCAGACTTTTGTACCAGAACCTCGACCAGCTCCTAAAAATGATGTTGGATTGAAATACAGTGTGAAGCACCGGCCTTTTCCTGAAGAAGTGGACAAGATCCCATTTGTGAAAGCAGACTTAAGCATTCCTGATTTACATGAAATTGTGAATGAGGAGGTAAGGGAAGTTTTGTCTTCGACTTCATGTTGCTCATTTTTCTGCCTGTTCATGAATCACATGCTGACTTCTTATTCTTCTGCTTGATTAATTCACATTACTTAGTGGAATCATAAACTTTGTACAAATGAATCTGTGCACTACCCCAGGAAGATGGCAGTGCCTTGGATGTGTTCTTGGGGAGCACAACTCAGCAGTTTATTCTGGATTCCAATAGCCTGTACATCAGTACTGCTAGGAAGCAGTGACTTGTGATTTGTTGCATCTTCAAGGGAGATGGAAGGGGTACTTGTTAGATCTCTTATGGTGCATATGTAAAAGTAGAAGTATTCTAAAGCTTTGCAGTACTTTAGGTTTTATTCATTTAGGAGGAAGATGCTGTATCTGATGCTGGGTGCATAAATGTGCAACAGCTCTCCCAGGCAAACAGGGTTTTGAGATATTCACTTTTAACCTTGCAAGGTCTCATTGACGGTGCTTTAGTAAACATCCTGGTGGAGTTGCAGCTGCTGCATGTGACTTACAGCTTTGCTAAATGATGGGGCTGTTGTAAGTGCTTTGAGAGTTTGGTATTTCATGTCTGTACAATGTATTTCAGCTTGAAGAGCGACATGAGAAGCTGAGAAATGGTATGGCCCAGCAGATTGTTTTTGAGACTTCCATAGATCAGAAGAGTGAGGAGGAGTGGCGTAAGAAGAGCTTTCCTGATCCAATCACAGAGTGTAAGCCCCCACCACCGGCACAGGAGTTCCAGACTGCACGCCTGTTCCTCTCCCACTTCGGGTTTCTGTCGCTAGAGGCATTGAAGGTGACCTCATAGTTCCTTGTGTTATACTAATGGCATGAGTACCACTATGGCTTGGCTTAACAGAAGAGGAAAACTTAAGTTTCATTAGTGGAAGATTTTTTTGTGCATTGCCAGCTGCTTTTGTGCTGTCATCTGCTTGAGTTAGGTGGCGAATTTCCATCTTTCAGGATTGAGAACAGGGTTGTGAAAGGCCAAGTCTGAAGCTGAACATGCTCTGAATAGGTGGCTATTAGTGTACTTTTGCAGTAGGTGCATTAACTCTCACGTTCACCTGTTTATATTTGGTGTTACTTTTCCAAATTGAGCAAGGAATGCTTTGTAAGCATTTCTAAATTATGACTGCCATGCAAGTTTCTGTTCCAGAAATTGTATTGAAGTACTCCAAAATGTTTATATATGGCTAAAGCACATTTAGATTGTAGTGTCATCCCTTTTGAAGATAAGATGCCAACAATGTATGGGAAAAAACCCACATCCTTAAATTGAAATTCTGCCTTTTAAGTGAGAATTTTGCCTTTCATTTGTTGCATTTTCTTCCAGAAAACTATCAACGTTAGGAGGCAAAGTAGCTATTGCAAAAATAAACATAAAGATGCTTAATATTGTGTATATTGCTGGTATATAGGTTACAGTAATAAAAACAAAACGAGATGCAATGCAGCTGTAGATAGTAATGTGGCATTTTGAAAGTCTCTGCTGCTTTTGTTGTGGAATGGAGCATGTTTTGAGCAAATTATTGCTTGTGTTTCCTTGAAAAGTGTTAGTTTTCTTCTCTAGTGAGGATAAGTTAAATGCAACAAACTGTCAGACTTCTGCTTGTTGCTGATCATTTGTAACACTATTATATTGGATCAGATTTTTTTTGCATGGTTTTGATTCATTTTTAACGGATCCGTGTGAAAACCACAGAGATCTTTTCAAACAGGAACATTTTTTTAAGCTGTTGAGCTCTGATCTATCCAACAGGAGCCTGCTAACAGTCGTCTACCTCCTCACCTGATTGCACTTGACTCTACTCTGCCTGGATTTTTTGATGACCTCGGGTACTTGGATTTACTGCCTTGTCGTCCTTTTGATACTGTTTTCATTTTCTACATGAAGGCGGGCCAGAAGACAAGCCAGGAGGTAAGAGAATGCATGGAGGAGAGCACTGGAACCAGTGGTTATTGGCTTTGGTTATTTGTTTACGACAGGAGGTGCAGCAAAACATTGCATATTTTTCATTTGAAAGGTGATTTATTATCTGCATTTAGGATTTTTGTAAGTATATGAATGAAAGGATGTATTTGGAATTCAAAGATTCAAATCAGAAATGCATTTCAGTTTGTAGGGAAAGCTGCAGTTTGTTCTTGGTATGTGCAATATCCAGGTAATTTAATTTGATTTTGATGCTAAACATATGTTAAAGAAATCAGAAACTCATTGCAAGGAAGTATTACTGCTCTGTAAGTCTTTACATTATACTAGTTGTGCTGAAATGTGATTAGGTTAATTAGGTTAATTTGCAAATCTAAGCCATGATTTCTTCAGACTGTGATCTGGAAATTCACCGTGAGTTTCTAAGAAGGTTTATGGGCTCAGTGGAGATATTTCTATAATACTTTTCATTTCTATTTGTAATTGTTGTACTAAAGAGTAGAAGCATGGCTTCAAAACTGATAAGCGTGTCATTCCCTCGTGTGACTGTTAGCATACAAGTGTCAGAGCACAGCAGCACTTTCCATGTCTGAGAGGAACACACCATCAATTCTTGAGGCCAACATCATGCTGTTTGTGAGTTTTCAAGTCAAAGTTTAGAGTAGCAAGTAAGTGGTCCCCAAAGTCAGTGAGGTATATGGGGCATGATGCCTTCCAGCCATCCAGAAATGTTCTGCTCTTGCTGGACTAGCAGAATACTTTTTTCCTCTGATGCATGTATGCAGTTACAGATTTAGGTGAGACTTTTGTGCAGAAGTTAGTCCTGCAGAATTTGCAGACCTTTGGAAACCCAGTTAGTAGTCTGTACTCAGGAGGATTTGCCATGTCAATTATAAAAAAATCTTTTGTATTTGAGAGATTCTGGGCATTATACAGACAGTGTAAAGATGGCATTTCTGCTTCAAGATCCCAGGACATCTTGCTGTGATTCCTAAGCCTTCTCAGTTGTGCGAAGTCAGAGGCAGTGAAGCTGGTAAGGTGCTTTTCTCTACAGCCCCGAACTGAGAGAGAAACTGCTGCTGTTTCTGTGGTTGAAAAGAAAGAGAACAGAAATAAGTCAATAGTAATTTTCAATATTAGCAATCAAGAGAGGAGATCAAAGCTGAGCCATGGCACTGGTTTGGGTAGGGATGGCTGTGTGGTGCTACGTAGCCATCCTTGTGCATGTGCTCATGCAGCTCTTATCAGGACCTAATTCTGCTCTGCAAGGTGATTCCCATTCCTGTCACAAGGAGTAGTGGCAGCTCTACATCTGCTGCTGCACAGCCTAGAGCAGTGCCATCCAATGCGGGTGTTCCTAAGCGAGCCCCAATCTCTCTGCTGTGGTGATGCACACTGATGGCTTAAGAAGGGTGTCGTGGAATTTGTTTATACAGGGTAATGAAACTGCCCACACCATTTTTATAGTATGATACTTAATAACATGAAATGTCCTTTGAACGTACTCTCTCGCCCTTATTTAAGTTCTTTTTCTGAAGGCACTCAGTTTCAAAACTATACATTTATGTAAACCTTGAGCTTGCATATTTTCTGCAGCTGTTTTTGCTCTCTTCTCTGAATTCATTCTGAAATGTAGCTCTGACTTTGCTGAGGTATTGGTAATATTGCAGTGCAGTGTCAAGTCACTGCTGAATACTGAGCAGGGTGCTGGAGCTGGGTGCCAAGGCACAGAGCCTTCCTTGCTGGGAAGGGCCTGTCCCCAGCTGTGCAGTTTCTGCTCCAGTGGAGTCTGTGTCCCAGGAAGAGCCCCAGCACTGCCCCCGTACAAACAAACTCCAGAGGTCTTCTGGCCACAGAACAAACTCCCCATGGCTCAGAAGGAAAGGACAATGCACTGCATGATGTTGTCTCTTCCCTGTATCCCAGTGGTTCAGTAGGCCTAATAACAAATCATCCATGTCCCCCTGCGCGCCGCTCGGTGCAGCTCTCCAGCCTCTCTCAGTCACACTGGGATTAGGATGTATTTGGATGAGGAAACAACCTGGATCTTTGTGCAAAGTGAGATTAAGGTTCAAAATGAGCAGTTCAGTGTGGATTTGATTGAAGTGCACGCTCAATCCTGCTGGAAATTGTTTTGCAGAATCAGTTTCATTATTTAATGTGTGGTCAGGCTGGTGCCCTCAGTCACCACGTTGTGTGCAGGTAGTGATGGAATGCCTTTCTCCCAAAATTTCCCCTCAGTCTAATAGTGAAATGTGCCCAGAAAATCCTCTTGTTATGTCTGGCATTGATGCAGATTCTGCACTGGACAGGTCTGTGGTTTACCCCTGATGTGTGGATAAATCCTGAAAGTACCGTTTGTAGCGGTGTGATTTCAGGCTTCAGCAGAGATGGCAGAAATTAGGACGTTGCCATGCAGGATGGTTGATGCTGGGCAGCAGGGACCAGTGTCCATGCAGAAAGCCTGGGGTTCCTGACTTGCTGAAAATCTCTATTTGGGCAAAAACCATTTTGATGACAAAAACTTTTGGATAATAGAAACAAAGGCAGGATGAGGAGGGAAAGAGCAGTTTCCAGGAGCCCCCGTCCATACCATGCTTCTGCTGGTTGTTTCAGATCCTAAAGAACATGGAGTCTTCCAGAATTGTTCAGCCACACTTCCTGGAGTTCTTGCTGTCTCTTGGCTGGTCTGTTGATGTGGGGAAGCATCCTGGGTGGACTGGGCACGTCTCCACGAGCTGGTCCATCAACAGCTGCAGCGATGAAGAGGGACCTGAACAAGGTAAAGCATAATCAACTGTGTAACACTGAGTTTTGTCTCCTATTGGATAAAACTGGTTTAAATTTTTTGTGCCTGTGTGCCTTGCACTTGCATACTTCTTTCACATTTTAAAAATCATTTTCTAGAAAGGTACATGTAAATTGATTAAACTTCAAGACCAAGTGATTAAAGTAATGTGTCTGTGTTGTTGGGAGGAAGTCGTTTCAGCAAGGAACACCATTTCCCATACTTCTAGCAGACTTGGTGAGTCTTGTTATGTAATCCAAAACCAAGATTCAGACGAAATTGGGTATGGATTTTAATGTGTAAAGCAGATGTGCTTGAAATATTGTGTGGTTTTTTTTTTGTGCTCTGTAAGTAGATTAAAATGAGCTGTTGATGAGTAAGTTAGCTGTAATCATGCTTCGTAGTAAGTAATGAAAACAAGTGGCTGTTTGTAGGTCACTGAGTCTGGAGCCCACACACAGCTCTTCTGCTGTCCTGCTTCATTTACTCTGCTTCTTTTCCACTACAGCAACTCTTCCTCTGGGCTTGACTTGTACTGTGACTGACTAAAGGCTTTTCTGAACATAACTACAAATGGTAGAAGGTTTGAGGTGTTGGGGAAGGCTTAAGAGAACAGATGTATGGCTTTCTCGGAACGAGTTAAGAGAGGTTACGGAATGGCCAGGGCTTGGTTTGTTATTTCTTTCAGGATGGAGCTGTTGTGCTTTATACTGGGGCAGAGCCCTCTCCCTTCCTTTTCTGGTTGAAGTTGTCAGTATGGCTGCACAAAGATAGTGCCCTGCATTGGTGAGGTAACCCATTTTAGTGCGTGCTTCTTTAACTTGAAAAGTAACTTTTAACTTCAACCATTTGAGTTAGATCATAGATGACCAAAAGGATGAGTTTGTTTAATGAGTTGGTGGAAGAAGGGACAGGAAAAGCAATCAGGAATGGAAGTGAAGGAAGACTGCATCAAGTCTGACTCTGATGCTAGGAAAAATCTACAAGTGGAGCTGCACCTTTACTTCAGATCTGCTTCTTCAGATATTTAGTCATTGCTTGCTAGGGTTGGACAAACTTATCAGTACTTCTGCTTATTTTTTTCCACCCGCACACTTTGCTGTGGCTGATGCTATTTGTTTTGTTAAGTGTGTATTCTCTGTGTGGATGGCTTTAATTAAAACAAAAAACACACCAGAAAAAAGAAAAGCCAAACAAACAAACAAACAAAACATTCGGGAGAGTAAAAGAGCTTCCAGTGGGATGTAATTAAAATAAATTCACAAGCATCTGTTTTGGTTTTGTTTTCACATCTTCCCCCTCTAATCCCCCCAGCCCCAAAGGGAAAGAAATTCTTAAGCAATTAAATTTGGGTTGAGTTGCTGCTCCCTGAGAGCAATGGGCTTGAGAGGTTCTTCTTCCTGATGGTGAGGCACGGCCCCGAGCTGCGGCGTGCCGCTGGCCATGGCTGCCTGTCAGTGTGCTGGATGTCACTGCTGCGCTGCTTTTGCTGAGGCAGCTGTTCCAGGGGCTCCTCTGTAAGTTGGCTCAGAGAAATAATTCGGCTTAAAGCCTTTGCTGTTCTTTCTGGAGGAGGTATGGAGAAAGGAAAAGGTGGTTTGGGTCATCTTGTATCATGGCTCCACTGAAAACTTATTTACTCTCTGTGCTGTGACAGCCTGATGTGTTGGCCAGCTGTGGTGTGGGAATAAGTGGGGGCTGAGAACTAGGAGCTTTCTTGCATTAGCTTCAGTTCAAGGGTGTGGGTTTTTTTTAAATTATATATAGAGAGAGGAATTTATAGAAATTGGCTTAAATTGTAGAATATTGTCAGGTTGAAGCTACAAATGTAAGCTGTCTTCTGAAATTTAATGACAAACTGAACAAAGCCTATGTTAAGGAAATGAGTAGAAACAGCTACTGGATGAATTCTTGTAGGAGATGCTTACTTAGTGACTACTTAGTGACTACCTTGGACTGTTCAGTCCAAGGAAAGTATGATATATGGTGAGTATAATTGAAATATATTCAGAATAAATCTTCTTTCCAACCCTTGGTACTATTTATTTTAAAATATAAAAAAAGTTTCTCTGAAAATTGTTGCTAACCATGAAGTTTAACTGTGAAATCTTCTCATTTTAAAATGTGACATATGTGATTTCTTCTCATTGCACCTTGTGGTTGAAGGTCTGTGCCTAGACAAATGAAACTTCCTTTTGAATTAACCTTCCTTTTGTGTTTGTTTCAGATGATGTAATAATTTCAGAAGATGTTGGAGCAAGTATCTTCAATGGGCAGAAGAAGGTGCTGTATTACGCTGATGCCCTGACAGAAATAGCTTTTGTTGTCCCATCACCCGTGGAGTCCCTAAGTAAGATCATTTTATGTATGCATTCTTAAAAACAATACACAATACAGAAGAACAACAGTTGTTGGATTTTTTTTAATAGAGAGCTTTGTCAGAAGCAGAAGCAGGATCCTTGTTTGAAAAGTACTGATTCAAATATCCTAATCCCTAGAAACCTTTAAGGTGTTACCTGTTCAGTGCTCCTTTGTTTTCCCAGTCTAAGCATCAAATACCTATCAGGTTTGCATGGTTGTACATGCTTGCATGGGTGCCTTAGGTTGGATGTATGGGTTTGCTCTGCAGTTCTGACATTGTTAAAATATACTAATCCCTGCTATTGAGTTCAGAGCAGATTTGCTGGTGGTTTTGTTCTTCTCTGTCCCTTCTTGTTGACGTGCTCCTGCAGCACAAGGAGGAGCGTGTGCCTAATGACCACATAGATGATTTTGTGGTATCTTTTACTCCAGTGAAATTCTGCACGATGGTTTCAAAGGGTTGTGAGGAAATTATAGCTGTAGGAAGAGGCTGTGTTATGTGGGAAACATAATCAGAATAATCAGACAGGGCGCTTCTGAATCCATAGGGAGTGCTTTAATTGCAGTCAGTTTCTGGGGTAACTTGCTTTTATCCACTGCTAAATTCTCTTCCTGATTTTGAGCTCTATTTTGACTTGACCCATCCATGTATGTTCAGTTTCAGAAACCTTAGAACCTTTCTGAGTTTCAAGACTGTACATATGATAACAAGTTAGGGGAATTTTTTGGGCAGAAGAAAAGACAAAACTCACTTTTCTGTTGGCTTATAGCTGATTCATTGGAAAGCAATGTCTCTGATCAAGAAAGTGACTCTAACATGGACCTGCTGCCGGGAATATTGAAACAGCCATCCTTGACACTTGAGCTCTTCCCCAATCATACAGACAATCTTAATCCCTCTCAGCGGGTAAGACAAAACTTGCACTGAAAAATGGCATTTATTTGTTTGGCGGGGTTTTTTTGTTGATGTTTTCTTCAGGATGCACAACGGTGCGTGTGGGTTTCGATAGCACACAGTTCAGTCTCCTGACATTTGGAGTCACTCGTTCCTAGATGTTAATCTTTCACAGCAGCTTCAGTCTGGCTAGTATGTACACCTACAGTAGGAGATTGCAAAGTTACATTAATTAACTATAAAACTGAAACTTGCTAACTAGGAACATCTTATGTACTAAAATTTTGAAGCGTATGCAGGAAAAAATATATGCAGTGTTCCTGAAGTAAACCAGGCCCCAGTCCATGGTTGGAAATTCTGGATGGACTGACATGACTGTTCATCCCCACTTGATTTAAAACAGCCTGTATCAGTTGTGGCTGAATTATCTAGAGTGAAGTTGCTTGAGTGTGGTAACAAAGCAGAAAGACTTGAACTTTGAACATAAAGGATTTACAACTGCTTATTTCTTGTTATAAATTTACTTCCAAATGTACTTTCTCAAAGATTCTAAATCAGTAAGTATGTTAAGAAAAACTTGAATGAGTTTTTAAGATGATTAAATGACTCATCTAAATAACAGCTGTTGCCTGGGTCCCTTTTTATTGGACTTGCAGAAAATTACTCTGTATAAGCACAGTAAAAATGGGAACAAATGAATTTGAGTATAGGGCAGGAACCTCAGTTTAGCTCACTGGATTAGGTGGGAAAATTAGCAAGGAAAAAGGCATTTCTTTGGGTAATGAGCAGATTTGCTCCAAAACATTGAGTTGATAATGAGAATATCATAAAGCTCTGCCATGATGGGTGTGCTGGGGTTCCACAATAGCATGGCAACAAAGCAGTGCACATGCATGTCCCCAAGGAACAGAGCAATTGCACTGATTGCAGCTTGGACATGTGTGACAAAGCTGGAGAAAACAAAAAATTGGCATAGTTTTCAATGTTTAAAGGAATAAGAGACTTTTCTCTTGTTTATGTTGAATGTAAGTGTTGTGGAACCCAAGTTACTGCTTTTAAGTGGGATAGTCCCACTGCAGCAGCCCCATGGTAATCATTTGCAGAGGTTGTACCTGTCTGAAATCTGAAGGACAAAGAAACAATTGATGAGATGCTTTAGATTAATCCCTGGGCTTCTGGTGTTTGCAAATCTTTTCTCTTGTGTTCAAAACAGCTCAGCCCCACTTCCAGATCCAAGAGGGTGCCTCAGGGCCGGACCATTCCACCGATGGGACCTGAAACCAAAGTGTACGTGGTCTGGGTTGAACGTTACGATGATATAGGTGTGTAGAATTTTCATTGTTCACTGATGTAGCAACAGAACAGAAATGAGAGGAAAAGTTCAGCTCCATTTCTCTAAAAAAAAAAAGCTAAATCCTTATTTATTTCCATAACTGACACTCAAGATTCTAAAACCGTTCTTTGATATTTGAGTGATGGTCCATGGGGGTGTGTAAGTGAATCACTGGCTGTAGATCTGGAGATTATTTTAGCTCTGGCAGTACATGCAAAACACCCTCATGGAGCTTCTCTTTAAGCTCAGTGTATAAGACCAGTGTGCTCTTGGCTGCTGTGTTCTCAGAATGGAGTTGTTGCTCTTCCTTTAGAAAAATGACTTTCTGACTCTTGTTTTGCTTCTGATTTGCTGGTTCTGTTCTGAAGGGATCATCAATTTCTTGATACCTTTGAAACTTTCTACTTTGATGTGTCGTGTGGAGGGCTCACTTAATCTGCTCACGTTGCCAGTTTGGATGGTGCTGGGCAGCCTGTTGCCTTTCTGCGTGCCATTGTTCAGGCAGTGTCCTACTCCTCGTGCTGAATTAATGCTCCTTGCCCTGGTGTTTCCCCCCTGAGGCTGGATAACTGGAGAGAGACCCAGCTTTGTCCATCCTGTTGTAGCCATAGCATGGTTAGTGCTAGCAGCTGTCCCCCAGGCTCGAGGAGTCCTTTGTTCATGAGAGCTTCTTGCATGCTAGTTCTAAGCCATGGGCCAGGCTTTAGTGTGATGTGAGAGCCTGTCTGTGCTGGCCTAGCCTAGCAGGGTCTGTAACACTGCCAGCAACAGATCATCTGTTTGAAGTTGTTATTCTGCCTCTGATTTCTAATCCGGGTTCCTGGTTTAGCATTAATTAAATCCTTAGCACATCCCAGAGGATAGCAATCAAGAGAGTGCAAGAGATCAGAGGAAGCTTCCCATAACTACCTGTATGAAACGTTCCCTTTCCCACCCAGGACTCTGGCACAAAGGTCTTGGTGTCCAAAGGAACACATTGCAGAGCAGTGCCTGGGATCAGGATACGCACATGAAGTTCTGGAGCATCTCTTCCTTATCCTGACACTGGCCCAGAGGGTTTCTCCTTAGTACCAGGACTCCTTCAACCACTTCATTTCTTGAGCTGCTGGTGTCCCTGACCCCCTCCTGTGTGGGGGGCAGCTCAGGCTGGCTCACTGGAGGGGCAGTGACTGCTGCACACACACGTTTCTGCTCAGCTGCTCCTTTAGCAGCCATGGGAGTCCCCTAGAGCTATGGGCCTGAAGCCGAAGAAATGAGTCTGTGAGCCTCAGTGTGCTTGGCAGCTGGATGTCTTGCGGGGGAGCTCTTGAAGGTTGCTCCAAGCCCAGAGGCTTTGCCTCATGCTTCTTGTGCTCTTGGCTTTTGCCTTATGCCATCTTGGTATTTGCACAGTGGAAGAGCTGACTCTGCTGGCCCTCCCTTTGCTTCATCTCAAAATACTTCAGTGGCCATCCCCCGTTAGTCCCATATGCTGCATGCACTCAGCACCCCAGTTGTGGTGTTACAAAGTGTTTTCAGGTTTATGCTCTTTCTGCTGCAAGAGTGCTTTGTGTTATCCTGCTGTCTGAATTATACTCGACTTTTTTTTCCCCCCCCAAACTTGTCTGTAAGCTTCTGTCCCTAAACAAATGGATGGGAAGTGCCACGTTCCATTCCAGTTCTCATTTATTCCTTCTGCACCTGTTACTGAGGGCGAGGTGGCAGAGCAGTGGGTTGTGTTGCAGGCTTTGCTGTGTTTTCTGGAGCAGATTGGTATTCCCATGGCAGAACTGCAGATGTGAGCAGTGGTACCATTTGAAATTCCCAGCACTGTTCTTGAGGCTGATGACTTGCAGATGGGAGAAGAAGCTACTGAATAATAATTTGAGAGGTGTTTTGTGACTGTGACACGCTTCAGCTTCTTTCTGCTTCACTGCTGCTCTGGAGATTTTGACCTTTGGGACTCAGCTGAGGGTCTGGGTCGTGTTCCCTAATCTACTGAGCAGTGGGTGAAGGAGGTGTGCCTGCATACCATGGGTAAGCTTAAGTAACAAAAACACACTTTGTATCACCAGTTTTGCCAGCACATCCCTGGTATAAATGCTTGAGGGTTGTATTGGTTTAACTATGATAACTTTGCACAAAAACAAAAAAACAGACAAAAATCCTGGGGAAGCTAAACTTTATTCTTTATGTCCTCTTACAGAAAACTTTCCCCTCCCTGATCTGGTGTCTGAGACCAGCACTGGTGTAGAAACTGCGGCCAACAGCAGCGCTTCCCTAAGGTAAGACTGCTCTTATTTCCATTGTTTTTCTTGGTTCTTGTGGACAACAGTCTATGCTGCACTTCAGAAGCCATGACACGGTTTATTTGCATTCTTCAGCTTTCACTGGAAACTCCAAAAAAATGTAGACAGTGTTAAAAAAATAGATGAGCTCCTTTAGTGGATTTGTTTTCTGTTGAGAAAAAAAAAAAATGAAAGGGCTTTTCATATTGCTGTGGTTGAAACATAAATTAAGGGGTAGAAGATGTGTAGTCTTATTCTTGGGTTTGTGATCAGCCTCCTTTCTGGCTTGCTCCCTGGTGATGTGGTTAATGCTGCATATATGTCATGAAGCTCAAAGCCCCATCTGCAGGGCTTTCATATTCTGTGGTGACAGAAGTTTGTAGGAACAGTGTAGCTGATGGAGACATCCTAAGGTCCAGAGGATGCACATAGGAACCGTGCTGGTTTAGCCATGAGACATTTTAATGTCCTTTTAACACTGGATCTACAAAGAAAAACACTCACTTTAATTGAAGCACTGCTATAGAACTGATTTATATTTTTTTTCCCTTAAGATCTACCATTCCTGAGAAAGAAGTTCCTGTGATCTTCATCCATCCTTTAAACACCGGCTTATTCAGGATAAAACTGCAAGGAGCAACTGGGAAATTCAACATGGTTATCCCGTTGGTGGACGGGATGATAGTCAGTCGGAGAGCTCTTGGTAAGCTGACAGGGGTTAGGGACACCTGTGGTTTCTTTTTTTCCTTTTCACTTGGAGGCAGCTCATTGAGTGGTCTGATCCTTCCTGTTCGGCCCTCATGCATCATGGTCATCCTGCCAGCAATCCTTTTGCCTGTACTCCTTCATGAGAAGCAAACCATAACCAGCACTCTTTGTATATGTGTTTGTGCTTCCCATTTCTGTTCCTCTGTTATGCTGTTACAGTGAGATCTGGCTGATCCCAAGAACTTAGTGGGGATCAGAGTGAAGGAAAGCTCAGGTATCTGTCGTGTGTGGGTAATAATGTATCTGCAGAATGCACAGTCTGGGATTTGTCACTGGGTGTTGGACATGCCAGCAGGTCTGTATTTTGCTCTTCTCGCCACCAGAGTGGCAGAGGGGACAGCAGAGGGAGCAGGTGGTGAGCATTTAGCTGGAGGAGTTGTGGGATGGGGCTGCACTGTCTGTGGGAACCAGGTGAGGGCTTGGAGTAATACAGTGAAAGGAAGAAATGTAGTGTGGATGGAAAGAACAGAAATGTGACCCTGATACTTAGCACTGAAGGCCACGATGCTCATGTTCCTCATCTGCCAAAGGAACTGCTGAGTTCCTGCTGGCATGCTGCACTTGTTCCTTCTGTTTTAAAAACAGGCTTGCAATGAAAAGCCACAGAGATTGGTAGGCCCATGTTAGTGTGTGTGCTGTCCACCTTTTCATGTATTCCTGGGCGTATTAACGACTGATCTTGGCTGTCTGTGCTGTTAAAAACTCAACAGCTGGAAATCTCTCTCCAGTGAGAGCTATTCCTGTGACAGAATGAAATGAATACACTCTGAGTAGAGTACTTGGACATAACCATAAAACTGATGTAGGAATCTGCTGGGGATGACCTCCAGGTTCTGATTTTGCACATCACATGCAGTGATGGTGAAAGCGAAGCCAAACAGGGCCTTCAGATAAAGTTTGTGATCTCAGCTGATAACAGCAGCTTGCACTAATGAAGAACCAGCTGTGTTTCTTCTAGGGTGGTGCTGATTTTTCGGCTGCACTGGGGGTAAAACAATGACATTTGTCTGATCTCTGAGGTCAGCAAATGTAGCTTGTGTGCAGTCGGGAATCAAGTCCTCTAGATAAGGAAGGCAGTGTTTGCTGTTTTACTGACACCTCTGTATAGACAGAAAAGAGGTCAATGAACACTTTTTTCATGAGATGCATATGAATTTTATTTTGGAATACCAGTAGGTCTACTGCTCCTAGCCACAGTCTGTCCTCTTTCCTCCCCCTGCTTGGAGGGGCAGTTCTGCCATCCCTGCTGGCTCTGCAGTAGGTTTGCCATGCCCAGACGGCTCCTCAGCATCACCCACTGCCACCTCAGACCCAGTCCTTGTGTGCACAACCTCCAGCTGTCGTACTGCTCTTCTGCTGACAGGGTCTGTGTCACTTACTGACTCGGTCCTGAGGGTGCTGTTGTAGCTGCCTGGCACTGGCAGAGCTGGGGAGCCCTCTTTCTCCTCCCGCTGGATGGGTGTACTGCTGACTTCACCCCTTTCTTATTTGAGTTTCACATTAAATGGGCTTACCGGGCTGGGGACAGGAATTATCAGTTATCAGATGGCCTTTCTGAAAAGTTCTCCACTTGGAGCTGCTGAGCATCTTCCCCTGGGTTCCTGGGTGGGGTGGGACCCCATGTTTCCTTCAGCTGTAAAACCATCACAGGGGAAAGTTGAATTTGTTTAAGCTTATTTCAGACGTTCTTTCCTCTAGGTTTTTTAGTGAGGCAAACAGTAATAAATATTTGTCGGAGAAAGAGGCTGGAAAGTGATTCATACAACCCCCCCCACGTCCGCCGAAAACAGAAAATCGCAGACATTGTCAATAAGTACCGCAACAGGCAGCTGGAGCCCGAGTTTTATACCTCGCTTTTCCAGGAGGTTGGGCTCAAGAACTGCAACCCGTAGGCCATTACCCTCCCTGGACAATTAGATCAGAGCTTGGTGGCTACAGCAATGAAAACAGTTAAATAACAACAAATTTCCTCAGCCCTCTGGAATTCAGGAAACCGTATTTCAGCACAAGTCAGCAGATACCGTGTGGGAGGAATGAGAAACGAATCCCAAACATTGCAGTTGGGATCCTGACTCCATTCACCTACCCTCAAAAGATTACTTAATTCCAGTCTTCCTGGATGCTCGCAGCATAATCTCTTCACGCAGCCATCTATTCCAGGCTAATTAAGATCTGTGTCTCGTTCTGTGAGAAGAAAACAATCAAAGCAAAACCATCTCTGCGTTTAAGTATGAGGAACACGAGGCAAAGCAGCCTGCCTTCAGACAGCTCGCTGTGCCCACGCGCTGGAGGAGAGGAGTGGGATCTCTTCCTGAGGAGGGAATCTCTTTCTGAGCACTCGCTGTCCCCACAAGAACTTCAGGAGAAGTTTCTGACCCCCTTCAGCGTTCTGAGGAGATACTTCAGTGCTTGAAACTCATCTGTACACCACAGGGAGGAAAGCTGCTCGGGAATATCAGGTCACCAAATGCATAACCAAGATGCTGTGTGCTTTCCAGTACCCCCCTGCGGGTCTGTGCACAGCATTTCTGTCATCCTGGGAACAAACTCAGCACCCAGAGGGGCCTGATTTCAGACACACCTTCTTACCAGATAAGAGATCTGGGTTCTACAGAAACAAGGTTATGACTTTCAGGTTTGTTGCAAAATGTCACATTTAATTTTAGTAGCTTGGTTTTATTTTCTTTTTGCAGCTGATTATGTTGAAATGTCTCTGTTGCTCAGTCGCCATTTTCATTAAATGTGCAAACATCTCTGGCTTTCCTTCTGCTGGGCTGAAATCTGAGGTTCTGGGGCTGCCTCCTGCCTGACCTTTATCCAATACGCAGCTTTTGCAGCTTCTGCACTTTCCAGAAGCTCCTGTTACACAGGCTATGAAACAACTGGCAGAAAAGTGAAGAACTCTTCTTTTGTCCATTAACTTGCCATTCCATGGAAAGTCCATTTGGAGTTGTAACTTAAAATTGTTTTGAGGTTACCGTGCTTTCTCGGCAGCAGTGATTCCCCTTCCCCTTGGCCAGAAGTTTCTCCCTGAGCTGCCGTGTCTCCCCTGGCCTGGCTCAGGCACAGGGCTGGGTCGCTGCCTCACCCCACAGGGAACAGAGCCGTGTGGATTCGTTTCTCTGACCGCCGGCAGCTTCCGTTCAAGCGCTTTGCTTCCTCTGTGGCTGCACTCCGGAGCTCAGAGCCACCCCCAGGCTGTGCTGGGAAAAGATGTTTACAACTGCACTTCAGTGCTGGGAATATGAAAGCTGCAGCAGGCACTGCCATTCTTGGGAGTGCTTTCAGGCCCCCAGCGCAGTCCTGTCTCGTGTGGCAATGAATCACGGCTGATGCTCCTGTGTAGGTGCAGCCTGCGATGGCTGGCAGTGCACGTGTTCTTTTCCTTCCAGTAAGTAGGGAGTAGGGGAGCATAAACGTAAGCAGGAATTTGTGGAGCTCCTCAAGTTATGACAAAGTGTTTCTTGGAAGCTTTTTAATATGCATTGCAATAATGCCTGTGAGTCACTTAACTTTGATATTTCAGTTACTTTTTGCAACAGTTCTAACCTGAAACAGTCTTACTTGTTTCATTACAGTTTCCTTGCCAGGGACCTGCCCTGATCCCAGCTGCGTGTGGTCTTTCAGAGGGTTCACATACACCTCAAAAGGTGTGCAGGGACGTGCAGGTCTCGGCTGAGGGAAGCTGGGGGACAGGAGCGTGTGCTGCAGGGCGGGCACAGGGACCTCTCAGGGGGTTTTGACCCAGATGAATCACAAATGGAAAAACAAAACCATGTTGTGAAATCAGCGTAGCAGTGAGCAGAGCTGCCGTGCTTCTGCACTGCCCTGGGTGTGAGGGGCAGCGCTGGGTCTGCTGGCAAAGCTGAGGTGGAGCGAGGCCTCATCTCTGCTCAGCTCTTGCCAGTATGCATTTAATGCACAGACACTGAATTTACCCACGTTGTGTATGTACCTATTGGATCTACATAATGGCCAAACACACTTTAGTCCACTGACTTAAAAGGCATGACCAATGCATGTGTAACAAAAAGAAACATACGGAGCGATCAAACGTTTGCACATCTTCAGCAGCTTAAAACCCACATCCCATAGCTGTGAGTGTTACATGCAAAACCATTGGTTTGTAGCCCAGAGAGCTGCAGAAACTGCTGCTTTCAGGTGCACGGTGCAGTCAGGAGCAGAGCTGTGGCTGGGAGGAGCGCTGGGTGTCTCCTTCTGAGTCAGAGAGCCAAAGGAACTGCCTGAAATATTGTGTTTTAATGCTTGGCTGAGGAGTAGCACTTAGGTCTGTTCCTTGTTCCATCCAAAGCATGAGTGTGGCACCCACCTGAGCAGTGCTCACAGGGAGAGCAGGGCGATGTGTCAAAAATCTTGAATGAAGAAAAGCTTTATGTGTGCAGCTGGGGTGAGCAGCGTTTCTAACTCCATCTGATCTGTAAGGTCACACTGATGACATCACACACAGTGTGACCGTAAGTTTGGGGTTTTGCAATCTGCAGAGGTGAACCTTGAAGAAAGTCTGAGTGCAACGCAGCAGTGCGGCGGCTCCAGAAGTGTGCTGTGCTGCCAGCCCTTGGTTTGGGCGCAGGCTGCAGCGCCCATGGCAGAGCTGTGCCCATGCACAGAGTGTGGTGTGGGTGTGGGTGATGTGAGAAGCAGCACGGGAGCGAAGCCAGGCAGCAGAGCTGGCGGCTGCAGGTGGCCCAGGGTGGCTTCAGCTCTCCTCTCCCATGGGCTGAGAGCAAAGCTGAGATTTATGTCATCATGACGCTTCTGTTGAGCCCCTGAGCTTCTGGGGCTCTGCACCACAAACTGCCCTATCGAGTTGGCAGCTTCACAACTTGCATGGCTGTTTTTTGCATCCATACCCATCGGAGAGCAGATGCCCACCAAAGGGGCAGCGCATCGCACCGAGCTGCGGCTCAATCACAGATGTGACACAACCAAACAGACTTCCTCTATTCACACAGTAACACCTTTCAGTTTGGATTCGTAATTCTGCTCTAAATGATGGCATCCTCTTAATGGTGCAGAAGGGGGGGTGGGGGGTGGCTGCCACCTTGTTAAATGCGGTGCTGAAATTGCAGAAATGTTGGTACCTTAATAAAGACTCATTTAAAGAAACCATCCTTTCTTAAAGGTCCCTGGCAGATGCATGACACACATGCAGCAAGTAGCTGGGGGGGGGGATGGTGTTGGGGGTCTGCGTGCCCACATCGGAGCAGCTCCACTGCAACAGAGCACAGCTGTGAGCAGTGACTGCGTGGCTGAGCGATGCCTTTGAAGGAAGGCAGACATCTTCCACGTGGATGTTAGCAGGAGCAGTTTGAGGTGAGAATGCCAGGTATCATGTGCTTCGAGTCATACACACTCTGTATGGATCCCTGTATGTTGCCAAGACATGATCTTTTTGTTCCTACTGTATTTTTCTGTAAATACCCCCGGCGCTAAGTTGTAAAGTAAAGGCAAAATGTAAATATGAAGATGTGAACTACGTTCCCTCGTCTCTCTTGTCCTTTATCTCCTATTTGTTTAGGGAAGGCACACAAAGGCTTGTTTGTATTTATGCCAATTCTTTGTCCAGGAAAAACACATCAAATATTGAATGTAACACAATTAGTCCAATAAATTTTAAAGATTCTTATCTAAGTGACTTTTCAGCTCTCCATTTTTGATGTTAATTTTCCAGTTCCTTTGGTTGAAAATACCAACAATGGCGCTTCCCATCAGCGCCGACACGTTGTGCGCCCCCTGCTGCCCTGCTCACGGGGTGGGCACGGAAGGCAGGAGGCCCCAATGCAGGCAGAGGGGTGCAGCTGATGCACTAAAGCCATGTGGTTAGAATGCAGCTCTGCCAGTACTGCACAAACTGCTTTATTTGGTGATAATTGGAGATAGGGAATTTCTGATCTCGGTCGCTCGGACTGGGAGAGGAGCGGGGCCATGGGGTGCTGCCTCCTGCCACGGCAGTGTAGCTGGGAGCACCCCATGCCCAGCCCGGGCCCTGGGCCCCAAGAGGCTTTGCTGGTCTGTGCCCAGCTGTGCATTCCGGTGCCCAGCTGTGGGTCCTGGCAGCCCCGTACCGCCCCGCCGCGTCCCCACACACAGCAGTGCAGCACAAAGCTCCTCTGAGACTGCGATTTTCAAGGGAGTGGAACAGAAACCGCTGGAGGAACCCTTCAGAAACCCAGGCAGAGCAGTGCAGTGCCCTCAGCACAGGCCCTGCAGTGTGGGCTGCTCCCTGCTGCCCAGGGGAGCGGCAAGATTTTCTGCTTAATACATCGAGGCACAATTTGTTACCAGAAACACCCGCACTGCAACCCAGGGCTCACCTCTGCCCTCAGCTCAGCTGTGGCTGTGATGGCTCCAAGGCTCAGGGCTGTGTGCCACCCCAGCCGTGGCCTCGGGCACCTGCGAGGTGACACAGGAGGGGACACCACCAAGAGAGCCGTCCCTCCAGCAGCAGCAATGAGGCGCGGGCAGGGGCTGAGCTCTGGCAGCCCGGGACCCACAGGATGACGCTGGTAAATGACTCCGTGCATCTTCTGCCTCTTAAAACACTTAATATATGTGCCCGTGTGATTCATTATTATCAGCTAATAAAAGATTATCTGACTCACTTTCATGTTTCTTCCAATTACAAATTGAAATTGTTCCCACTATGACCTTGCAGCTGCTAGATTTTCTAAAATTAGCCATAATGATGCATTTTACTAAGATAATTAATTATCTAAACTGAGAAAATTGAGTAGTAGAACTACTTCACATGCCGCTAATTATCTTTTATTATGTCATCTTTACATGCAAATAGAGAAATATTGTGATTATTTTAAACACTGTTTTCATTAGCTAACACACTTGTTAGCACAGCCACGGCTCCGCTCCTCCTCCGCAGTGAGAGCCCCCCGGGGCTTTGGGTGCTCATTGCCCGCGGGACTCTGATTTCCAGATTAAAAATACAGGGTTACGCTCCGAACTCGATCATCTGCATAAAACATGAGAGCGGATTGGCAGAAACGGCCCCGGGGCTGCGGGGTCACCGCGGCGCCCTCAGGGCAGAGGGCAGAGCGCTGCCAGCGGGTCGGGGCCGTCCTGCGTTGGGCTCGGCGCTGTGCGGCCGTGCGGGGAGTGATGGGCACGGCTCGGGGCTCTGCAGCACGGGAGGGACGTGGGCAGAGCAGAGAGGGTCCAGCGGAGGGCTGTGGAGGTGATGAAGGGAACAGAGCATCTCTGCTATGGGAGCGCGCAGAGAGCAGCAGCCGGCGGTGCGTGGGGACAGGACCTCAGGCAACAGAAACAGACCGGGAGCTGAGCGGTTCCCTCTGGCCATCGGCACACGCTGCTGTCCCGAGAGGCTGTGCAGTCTCCTTCCTGGAGCTCAGCAGCTGCTGGACGCGGTGCTGGACGCAGTGAGGTGCCCGCTGGAGTGGGGTGGGAGCAGGGATGTCTGTGAGATGCGGCAAACAGGACCCCGTGCTCCTGAACAGCACTGGGAGCTTTGAGTTCCCCTCCGCGCCTTCACTCTCTGCTCCCTTCAGAGATCTGCTGCTCCAAAAGCAGCACGAGGTGGCTGAGGGCACGGAGGTGCCACTGATGTTCCAGTAGCATCCCCACAGAGGATGAGATCTCCCCCAGCCCTCCTTTCTCTCCCTGTGACCTGGCTGGGAGCCCCTGGCCCAGGAGCTGCCTTTGGGAGCGAGCCTTGGCAGAGCTGGGGGCCGCTGGGGGGCTGTGCCGTGCCGGGAGGACGCTGTGTGCTGACAGCAGCACTGTGAGGAGTGCATTGGCAGCACCAGCATGGCGCCGTGCCCCCCACTCACATGGGCCCCACCTACCAGGAGCCATTGCAGCCTGAGCCATAAATCTGCAGCAGGACGGGTCGGTCAGCACTGCCCAGCTGCTCGGCCATGCAGCCCCTTCCTGTCCTCTCTCTTGCTGGTGGGAGGCAGCTGTTGGTGCTTTAGAGCTCACAGCACCCTTCTGTGCATGGGCAGGGGACGCTCCTGCTCCCTTCAGCCTTCAGCTCTTAAATCACATCTGTAAATAGGGAGGAATGGCAGGATACTGGGACACACAGGTTGTAACTTGGAGGAGGGGGAGTGTGAGGACTGGTCACAGGGCTGCTGGCTTTTGTCTCACTGCTCCAAAAGGGCCGTGCTGGGTGGGCAAGCTGTGCTGCCTGCTGTGCCCTGCTGCAGGAGGGGCCCACGGCCACGGCCCGACCCACAGCCACAGTGGGAGCAGTGGGTGCTGCAGCCTGGGGCAATCCCAGTGCAAGGTGCAGCATGAGAGCATATGGTGATGGAGCAAGGTGACATCCTTTGCTGAGCTATGCACTCCCAGCAGCGGAGCTGTGCAATGATGGAACAACGCCATGCGTTTCCTGGGGCCATAGATTTAGTGGGCAGTATGGATTTTGAAAAGGAGGATCTGGCAGTGTGGATGGGACAGGGTGAGCTCAGATCCATTTTCAAAAAGGCTCATTTCTCCATCCCGCAGTGCTGGTCAGACCCAGCCGGGATGGCAGCTCTGCTGCCCAGGCACACAGCACCCCATGCTCCACGTGCCTTGAACACCTCCAGGGATGGACGGGGCATCCACAGCCTCTCTGGGCAGCTGTTCCAGCACCTCACTGCTCTCTCTGTAAAGAACTTCCCCCTGACATCCAACCTCAATCTGCCCTCCCTCAACTTAAAACCATTTCCCCTTGTCCTGCTGTTCTCTACCCTTTCCAAGAGTTGAGTTGAACACTTCTCCCCATGCAGACACACAGGCAGTGGCACCTGCTCCAACCTCAGATCTTTTCATGTAGAAGCATGGTCATGAGCTGATCAGCTCAGACCCCACAGGTAGCCTTGCTCAGATCATCTCCTGACCAGAGCCCTGTTTGCCACAGTTGTGATCCCTAAGCCCCAAACAGCACAAAAACTCCACACCAAGTGAATGCTTTCCTGATTTTCTGGTGGCAGCCGTTGGGCAGGGAGGAGCTCAGCAGCTGGGACAGAAGGTATTGCATACAGGTACGGAGCACAGGAGGTGGTGCACAGGGATGGTGCACACAGGGGTTGGTGCACACATCGATGGTGCTTAGGAAGTGGTGCACACAAGGATGCAGCACAGGCAGTGATGCTCACATGGGTGATGCACAAGGGATTGTGCATACAGGGATGGTGCACAGTGGGTGATGCTCACAGGGATGGTGCACAGGAGGTGGTGCACACACGGAAGGCACACACATGAGTGGCACATATGGAGCTAACAAAGCCATTGGTGTTTGGAGGGGAAGCTTCAGCCACTGAGCTTCAGCTGCTGGGGCATGATGAAGAATGCCTGGGTTGGCTGCTTGCTTTTTTCCTAAATGTTCAAAATCCTTCAGATCAGAGGTTCTGGCAAACACTACAAACACAGTCCAGGCTGTGGCAGGTCCTCTCTGCACCCCCTGCTGCCCTGTGAGTCTGCAGAGCTCGAAGTCAGCTCTGAGCCCTGGAGACACCTTCAGCAAAGATCTGGGGACAGGGAGCATAGGGTTGGCTTTGCAGAGCCATAGGGCAGGGCAACAGGGACACCATACAGAAGCAGGAACATATGGGCACATCCCTGCTCAGTGCCTCTGCAGCTGGTGGCTGATGCTGGTGGGTCCATAGTTGCTCTCTGCCCCGCACAAGCAGCCACCCCCCTGGGCACTCCTGAGGGCAGCACCTCCCACGGGTGCCTAATGAGGAAAGGAACCAGGAAGGTGTCCTGAAGTGCCACCCCCCAGCTGCTCACCCCCTCAGGGGCCCTCGCCCCAGCCAGCTGCTCTTCGTGCCCCCATTCCCTGCTACCTGCCCAACCGGTCCTGTCACCAGCCTGCATTCTTGCTCCAAAAATATGCCTTTGAAGTTTCTGGGCCTGCTTTCACCCTGCCCCAGCTGTGTCCCTACCCCTTGCCCAAGCTGCTTTGCTCAGGCCCTGAACCACCCCTTCCTCCCACCACCCCTCTTGCAAATGAGATGTCCCCCCCAGGGACCAGAGGCCAGTATCAGACCCATGCAGCCCTTTGCACCTCCTGCTGACACTGGGCTCAGTGCCACGCTCTCCTGTGGTCACCTGGACATGGTGGCACCTGGACATAGTGGCACAAGGCCATCCCTGCTGCCTGAGCCCCTCTCTGTTGGTGGCCAAGTGCCGGGTAAGAAGTGTCTGTGAGTCACAGCAGGGCAGGAGGAAGCAGAGCTGTCCACTTAGCTAAATTATGGTGCTGGTTTTGAAAGGATTTGTAACGAAGGAATCAGATTTAAATCGATTCTATTTCCTAAGAGTTGTTATAACCTGAAAAGGAGCAAGTTGCTTTATTGCATAAAGGAACGTGAAAATAAGTTGTGCTTTCGTGTCTGGAAACTATTCTTGGTATCAGGGCCGCTGCAGTAAGACACGAGACCTGAAACACTCTCTCATGGTTCTCTCCCTTGCTCAGTTTTGGAGGCCCTGGCTGTGAGGACGGGGGCAATGCAGGCCGGAGCAGCCCAGCATCTCTCATCCAGGGTCAGCAGTGGCACTGGGCACTCGGCCTTTGTCCAGTTTGGACCTGAAACTGCCAAGGATGGATCGCAGCCCCACTGCCGGCCTCCGCACACCGTGCATCCCAAGAGGGGCACGCTGCCAGCTGC